TCCGCGGGTTCTAGCGGGGGTGAGCTGGCCCCGCGGCGAGAAGGGGAGCGAAGCCGCCGGGGAGCCCGCCAAGTCCAGGGACCTGCACCCCACCCCAAAACGCCCTCCTCCGCCTCCTGGTCCCTTCCCACGGCGGGTATAACTTGACGGTGGCGAGCATCATTTTAGGTTTGTGGGATAGGCTGTGGGGGTTTTCTGTGTGTCGCTGTTTGGTTGTTGGTTTCGGGATATCGATTTTTTATTTTTTATTTTTTTAATTATTTGGGGGTTGGGGGGAGGTGTGAGTTGGTGTTTATGAAAAGCTTTATGACTCCTGATAAGCTCATCTTTGAGGACAACACAGAACTGTGTTCCTTGAGGAATTGGGGTGGTGACGTCTTTTCTGATACCCGATTATTACGTGACTGGGGAAAAAAAAAAAAAAAAAAAAAAAAAAGGCATTTGATTCATAAATAAAAATCCGGACACCACCACGGGGGCAACAAACAATATTGCCCGTCCTCTAAGGTAACAAGCAGGCAAATGTTTACGAAGCGGGCTCTTGCCGAAGTGGGGTGTTTGCAAAGATTTTGTTGCTAATTGCGTGTCAGACGGAAGGCTGCGGAAGGCTGGTCAAGTTTGGAGCCACCGAGCAGGAAGAGAAGAAGAGAAGGCTGAAGGCGCTCAGTGAGGGGAGAGATCTGGGGAAGACAACATCGCACGCAGCCAGCCCGCGGCTCCCCCGCCTCCGCTCCCTCCCGGGCTCGCTCGCTCTCTTCCCCCTTCCCCTGTGCTCCCATCTCCGGCGACATCTCGCTCTATCCCTCTTTCTCCCTTCCCTTGCAGACTCCACTCCAGATCTGTGCTGCTACCTGCAAACTTTTTTCCTTTTTTTTTTTTTCCTTCCTCTCTTTTTCTTTTTGGAGTGGAATCCCCTAAAACCAGCCAACAACTAACTGCTGCTTTTGCGTCTTCTTCATCCCGCGAGTCCTTCGCCCACCGGAGAGGCGATGCCACGAGGGTTTTAAGTCCTTTTGGCCGCAACTTGGGAGACAGCTCTATTTCTCCCCCGCTCCATTTTGGGTCGTTTTTGGGTTTTTTTCCCTCTTTTTTTTTTTTTTTTTTTTTCTTTTTTTTT